AATACGCGCTGGAAATAAAATTGAGTACAAGATATCCATATTACTTGCTATCGGAGCGGAAAGCTTACTTAACGAGGTTGAGATAAATGGAACTTAAGAGCATTTAAACTATTTATTTCCCACTTTTTTTGACTTTTTGATTATCCCAAGGTTCTACGTTTTCTGAGTGCAGAGATATCTCTTTAACTTGTCCTCCCATATTACCCACTCACAGCTGTTTTTAAAAAAATCACATTTTTCCCCCCGGTAAAATTCCATTGAATTCCATGTCGCAAACAATTAATTTCATCTCCCCGGCTGACTAGTTTGCCGACACCCGAGCTGAGAGTAACGACGCCTAGGAGACATTCTCAACTTGAACCGTGGCGTGAATCGACCAATCGGGGGCCTTGTATCATTCGAGCAAAAAGCGACCAATCGGGGGTCTTGTATTATTTATGCAAAACTGACCGTTAGGTCATTACAGGGTCGCGATTCCGCGCGCCATCTAATGTGCACTCTGGTTGAACCGGGGCTATCCATGGGGGGAATTAAATACAATCGGAAGGCGTTTCTTCTAGAGTACCACCCAACGCGCCTTCCATTATAAAGCAGGGCACTTGTAGATATGCGAAGTTGTTATCAGATGTAAATTATATTATTAATATTTTGATTTAAGAAAAGCCAGAAATGGTGATGATTTGCTTTTAATGTCATGTTTAAGTGACTGACTGACTCCCCGACTGCCTGACTGACTGACCGACCGTCCGACTGTCACGTTAGACGTAGAGCGTGGTCGCTAAATGGTAAAGAGAGCTGGGCAGTGGTATCGGATAGGATTACCCAATAATATACCAAATGTGACCAATTGTGTAGTCCAGATGCACAAAAAGACTTCCAATGAACTGCCATACTGAGTAAACTGAAGATAGATCTTTGTGTGCTCTGCTTGGGAACAGCTTTAGATTGCCCAGCCATTTCCTGGTTTAGTTTCATTCTTGTTAAGTAATTAAACAAGGGATTCAAATGGTTCCTGAAGGGAGAGAGGAGACGATAAGGTCTAATGTAGGGATGGAAAGAAAACTCACTGTGAGGGTGAATCCACAGAACAGAAAACTCGATCCACTTGTCGGCTTAAGTAGGACTCGAGCCGCGTACTAGGGGGCGGGGGAACTGAGGGGCCTCATTTTTTTGAGGAGGGTGGGGATAGCTCACAATGGGTTGGCCATGATTTAAAAAAAACCCATCAAGTTACTTGTTTTGGCCTTCTCCAAATCATGAACGGGAGGAGGCGCACAAGGGGACAGAGGCCTTGAGCGAAACGTGCGACCCCTGCCACCGATGGCCACCACCTCACCCCAACCCTACCCCACGTCGCATTGATGTCAACATTCAGCAAAACTGCCAAAATGTCTTAAACTATCCTGTTTGATTATAAGAGGATCAAGCATATCCTGTGAAGTCATTGCGCCTACAGAGGTACGCTGTGATGATAATTTCCTCGAAAAAAACCCAAATACTGGCCCAACTTGAACGATTTGTACTTTAATTTGCAATCGGTTACATATCCATGAATGGGAATATTTGTTTACCGCGTTATCAAACTAGGGATCATACCACAAGAGGGTGCTAATCAAAAAAAATGTATTCAACGGGAACTTTGCATTTCCACAATTTCACAATTATCAACATGCTTTAGGTTTATTCTGGTTTCCTTATGTCGGCGAAAGTGCACTTTGTTTTTTTGCAGATGGTGTTCATTACCTTTAACCTTAACTTCTAAAATCACAAAACTGCTTGTTGGTAAAAAAATTCATTCGTACGTAGGCCTATTACATGGACGGCACCGCTAAAATCACACATGCAAAAACTTAAACTGTGACTGTAGCATAGTGTCAACGGTTCCATTTTGACGGTATATAGTATGCGCCAAACTGTCGCCTGCAGCATCGGAATACCCGCACAGCATGGTTGTTTTCATACACGATGCGAGTTACCAAACATTACACGACACGCCCATCATAGGGTGACACATACACCTTGCGCCTGTAGGCAACCCAGTGAGATATCGGCGATCTCCCAAAAGTATACCTACACAATTATTATCCAGGAGCTTATTTGGGTTAAAGATCGTACTGGTATTAAACAACCCCGTGAAATTATGCCGTCTGGCTTGCTGTCATTTTTTAAGAAATAAAGAAATGTAGGTGATTTTCAATGATCAGTCAGTTGGCTGTGTTTTGGTGAAAAACAAAGGCTCTGCATTGTTTTTCACTGTTTTCTCGAAAAGTATAACATCCACCAAGCTAAAACTTCAACAGGTTAGGTTTTGAACATTCTTCTTTGGATTTTGAGTGGCGTTATTATTGGAAGCAAACAAATGCATGAAAAGCAAATGATCCTATAAACGTATATGCCTTTAAGGCGTTAATCAGGATCTCCCAGATGCATGACAAAGTCCATGAAAACCTCGTAAAAGTGGAAACATTAGGATATAAACAAAGACGTTGATTGGAGTGGGATTTCAACTTGTGACCCTGGAATACTGTACCGGCGCTGTACCAATCGCACTATTTTTTTTAACTAGTTCGTTAATTTATATATTTTTTTAATCGGAGAAAATTACTGAATATTATCGGCCGCAGTGTATCCATCAGTATTGTGTTTTTTGTTATATTTCAATGCAAAATTATTGTATTTTTTAACCTTCTAGGTCTGAGAACGTAATTAACTGCAATGCTGTAATGATGATTAATAAGTGTTTTAAGCTGTCACATGATGCGATATTGTTTACTTAATATCCAATGGCTATTTATCATTTCACTTATTGCCTGTTCACACTACCGTTAGCCAATAACATGTCAATTAACAACCTGAACTTAAATATTACCAATTATGTAGTTTTCTTTTATGACTGCATATACACCTGTTGTATCTTTTGTCTATAGTATAATTTAGACAAAGTTTAATTGTCTACTGAACTAGTTTAACCTACTGAACTACAGACCAATCTGGGCACGCTGTCAATTCTCTCACGAAGGCCCCCTCCAATGGCGAAATCTTTGTGATATGGCTATTTCTCAGATAATTTGTCATGGGGCGGTAGCTTTGCACATAATTCTTTGGCCATAATTCATTGTCTTTGGTACGACCATAACTTAACAAATTAAGTAAATCCTGTGTCATGTGTCCAGGTTCGTCTATTGGCAAAATAGTTATGACTTAGCAGACTAAGTTTCCCCGGGAAAACTTTTCCACGCCTGTCAAGTTGTCTTTGGCGCGACCATAACTCTAAAGTGTATGTATTTATTTGTCAGCTTTAGGACTACAACCGTAAACCACCTTAAGGCCAGACGAAGTACACCTTGTTAATATGCAACCTAAAACGTAGCACCCGGACTATAACAAAACAAAATAGTACATAAATAAAAAAAACCAAATCAAAAATGCAAAGTAATGTAATAAAAATGTAATTTGTTTTCACACTGCAAGCTTCCTGATAATGCCAACGTTGCATTTGCCCATAATTCAATGGTGAGCGGTTGAAGTTCATGACGACACACTGTCCCGCCCTTTCACATAAGGGTTAAAGTGGAAGGTTCGACATCGTTGAAGGGGCTAAGGCCCCCTGGGGCGCCCCCTACTGGGCGGCTGTCGAACTTATGCTTAACACCTGGGATAGAAAACTTCACCAACGTTTTTTTAAGGCCTTCCGTTTATGCAATATGCAGGGCTATTTGTACAGTCTCTGTATACTCATACGATATCTGTTACAAACAACTATCGCTGCATAGGTATCCTATAGTTTCGATTTGAGCACGAGAATGGTGATTGGCATCAACTTGCAATGACCTTAGACACAATATGAGATGCTACACAGATATAAATACACCATTATCTTTCAATTTCGTATACAAAATAAGTATTATTTTCATTATTATAATTATTTGCACTGTTTGCAAACCATCTGACTAAGGTTACAGCAAATCTGTACCAAATCAGCACATAGGTTTTTAATTTTGAAAATGTTTTCAAAGTGTAACATAAGAGCGATAGTAATTACTAAAAAATTATACCTTATGTGGAAGCATTCCCATAGACTTGTCCGCAAACAAAAAACCTTTCCATAAGCCCATTTGTAAATACTTCCGCATACCAAAACATTTTATTTATACTATTCTCGACACAAGGCATCTTTCTAAACATTGTAACATTGCCACTGTAAAATTCGTCCTGGAAATGGTAGTCGAAACATTAGGAACCATAGTAACCAATGTCTCCCCAGTGTAAAATGATTTACGAGACAGTTGTCTGGTAAAGGTACCCTTTCTTGAAATAAAGCATTTCACATTTCAAATAACTCAGACACTGTACTATTAGCAAAATTTCAAACGGCTTTTTTTCGACATGAATGACATGAATAGACAAGTGCATTCTTCAAGTAAATATTGACGATTTTCTGAATGGAATTTTTTTTTTAGACATTCCAGCATTCTCGCGTTGCTGATGCCATTACCATAATCTTCCCTCCTATGGTCAATTCCTCCGCCTACGTCACCGGCCTCAGTCATTTCAAGAATTCGCCCGTTATTTTTCTCGACAAACTTCGACATGATCCGATGACACCTTTTGAGACCGAGTATCGTAAACACACCGCGTCACTCGGAAAAAAGAAAAAGATCTTTCGAAGATGTCAAAGTATACCTTATATGTGTTGAATACGAATTTCGTTCAAAGTTGGCATTTCAAAAAAATACTTGTTAACAGTTTGGGATTTACTCATGTATACAGTGATTCAAAATTACCACTTATCCCAGGTCCGCAAAAAGGATATGTTACCATGTTAAACATACACCAAGCAATACTGTTACAACTTACATCATCAGTGGCAGAGTGCCAAGTTTGCTAATTACGGTATACAACCAATGCTTAATTTTAACGAAACCGAATGAGTGGACGTTTACAAATCAGGCATTTTTATCTTACGAAAAATGCAATTAAATGAAAGTTCATGATCTTACCTTGAATTACACTGTTCTCTCATTGGAAGCGGTGTAAGGAGTCCACAGACCCCAGCCAATAAAGTTCCAAAGTTTCTTCTTCTTCTTTACTTCTTCCTTGGTATCCCCAAGTCAGGAGTGAGACCAGACTCTGACTTTCAAGTTCGAGGAGCAAGATCTTTCCGGAGAGTCTGGATCCACCACAGCGAGGTATCAGACGCGAGGCAGCAGGCCCGAGTCAGCGAGCTAAGGACTTTCCATCTAGCGGGGCGACTTCCATTTTATTACCGGTTGGCGTTCGCCTTTCAGACTGCTCGGTGGGGCGTCCCGCGCGGTGATTGGGCCGGGGCTAACGAGAAAATATGAAATGATTCGAGGGGGCAAATGCGGCGCAATGTCGGGTAGGGAAGACGGGGCGTCCACGGTGTGGACCTGACGTATACGCGTGGAGTTCACCTTGTCAAACTTCCCATAGCGATCAGTTGGGGGATCCTGTCGAGCGGGAATCGGGCCAAATTACAGCGGCGGCTTGCCAGAATATTACAGGGGATGTGGCTTGCTCTGTGTGCTGATCTCCTGAAATCCAAAACTTCTTTTTTACATTTCAAAAAGCCGTTCAACATCTTGCCCAATCGTTGATTAAAAATATAAACTGCATACACTTCTTGGCAGTCTTTCCGACAGTTGGTAAAAATGTTATTCAAATTATCTACATTAACAATTCAGGCAATTAGTCGTTAATAATATTGCCATTATTTTGCACCAAGTTATAAATGTGTGCATGTATTCTTTCATTGGATATACTTTCACTTTTTGTTTACTATATTCGTCATAACAGCGCACATAAAAATTATCACACATAAATACAAAGGTCTAGGTCTATCTGCGAAATATATTGTGACGATCGTGCAAGCCAGTGGTATTACATACATGATGCATCCCAAACAGCCATTGTGGGGTTTTATCGTGTAACGTCCACTTTTTTTCCCAAGTATAACAATAAGTATACAACAATAATATACATGTAATTATAATAAGTTACGATAATAAATAATGAATTAATAATACTACAAACTGCTCCATAAACAGGTTTTGAAAATATCACTTAGTGATAAAACTATTCACTTTCATATGAATATAGGTCTAATACTTTGAACGTATTTTGTTTCTGGAGGGGAGATGTATAGATGACTATTCTGTTATTTATTTCACTGACACAGATATTTTAGTGAATGACATAATACCTGAGATCATAAAGTAGGCCATTTAAGATATACAAAGCTGCAGAACTATTTCGCTAAATAGGGAATATCAGTGATAACATTAGTTTTGGGAAAATTTGCAAGAACGACAATCGTGGAGATCACTGCGCGCCAACACGTCTTACCAAACTAATGTAACTATTTGTTGGGGGCATTGATGACGTCAAACAGTCAATCTGGGAACTAGAACTTGAATGTGGTTTCTCCAACTGGGACAACAGGTGAGCAAATAGAGGTGACATTCCAACCCTCATTGTGGCTGAATTCTATTACAGTTTGAAACCAGGTTCTCAAACCATCGGCGGTCCGTGCATGACAAATCGGGGAACCCGTTTAATAGGTTCGATTCAGTTCGGTTTGAAATCGGCTTAATTAACAACATTGCGGTTCCGTTCGTTGGTTTGACCAAGGCTCGTCACGCTTTTCAGATCGGTTCGATTTTGTTCGGCTTCGTTCGGCTGTTCGCATCCATCTGTACAGCAACATTGGTTGAAGAATTTGCAGGTCTCTTATGCAGTTCGCAAGAGTAGGAAATCGCCCTTATTGTGGGCTTCAATTCCGCACACTTGTCTGTTTCTCAAACTTTTTCGTGTGCATTACTCGGCTACTTGCCATTGAGTAAAATTGACTCATTTGTAACCTTAGGCTTGTCAATTTCAAATGAATTTCGCTGTCTTACTTTTCAAAATAGAATAAACTAACAAGCAAACAAACCGCAGTGAAATTGGTACCGGTTAACTTGAGTGACTCACAATGACTGCATAATTACACTGTTTTTGTATTGAAATTTTGTCTGTCATTTCTGAGCAGTTTGCGGCCGCGACAAAAACGTCATCTTGGTTTCTGAAATTGTTCGTGGTTTGCTATTGTACGTTAATTTGTTAGACATCGGTGAGACTTAGCGTAGGCGTGGGAAACTGTCATGTAGGCAGTTGCGGTGGACGATCAATTTCCCTTTTTCTTCTTCAATCATTGTATACTCTTTGATTTCAAAAGTGGGAAAGAAATCTCTCCGAGTGAAAATTCATGCCACGTGATCAAAACTAGTGAACCGGACGATTTGGGGTGAAATTCGTTCAATCGAAAAGATCGAGTTTTCAATAGAATGATGTTTCCCGACGTATTTCAATCTAAAATCAGAGTTATTTTTCACTATAAATCGTACGGTCATATAGTTTCACGGTTTGGAAATATCGAGTTGAATTTCAAAACCGCGGTTTCAACAACTGTATAGGGGAGTTATCTTTCAAATAAAATTTATTAAATAAAACCTCAACTAAAATTAAGCATTACAAAACATATTTAACATTTCCAACAATGGGGCTGCTTTTACTGGTCAAAACCTAGTGATCCCTTTGTAACTGACTGACTGTTACTTGTAACGTAGCATGGTTGTTGGCCGATGAAGAGAGCCGGGCAGTTCTATTGTATAGGATTACACCCCAGTGGGCTAAATCTGGCCCAGTGTACAGCCATTCTGAATCAATCGAATACAATTCTGTGCGCTGGGACCAGATTTACTCGGCTTGACTTGTCTTGTTTTCGGAGAGGAACATTTGTTTCATTCCGAAAACTCGGAGGCAACTGTATGTACAGTTTTCCTGCAACACACTGCAAGAATTCAGGCCTGGTATACGGCTGCGTTAATTTTCAAAGAGTTGCGTGTTTGGAAACGCCTTTACGTCTTTTTTCGTCCCCCCCCCCTTCATGGTTCTTTACCAGGTTTTCATAAAGGTGTGTAAACACTGGACGAACCAGGATACTGAACAAACATGTCACACACAGGTAGGACAATAATACCAACGCATATCTGAGCCCCTCATACGAAAACACGGTCAAATACCTTGGCTCCATTCCTACGCATAGCGATGCTAGTTTGGTATGCAGAGATCAACGTTCACGGACAATTATACGCACTAAAGAAAACATCGGATTTAGTTTGGTTGGATTTCGACATAAGTCTTCGTTACAATAATTCAAATCAAATCTGCAGGCGTATTATCTGCGAACCATGATTTTAAACATGTTCGTTCGTGAAGACGGATAGAGCGTACTGTCCGAAACGTCGTGTGTTACCAAACCGGTCTTTTTCAGAGCCAAACACAGTCACACAAACAAAATTGACTATCGTGTTATCGCAAACATTAAATGCTTTTTGGCATGAGTTAATTCGTTTGCATTTAGGCCTACCGAAATTTAGTCATACCAAGTAGTGCCCTCCTATTGTGCCCGCCATTTTCTTTAAAAATGAAAGATTGATATCATTATTAAGGGGGCTCAAATCCCCGAACATTTTTATGTTTTGGATTGTTTCCTTATCCTATTTCAAAGGTCTGGTGAAAGGAAACTAACCTTATGTCTTACCGTTCCCAAGAAAAGACGAAAAAAAACCCTGGTTGTTTTCATTGGACGCGGCTGACATTTTGTGGCATATGCATACGTATTTCGAGCTGTGTCAATTCAATGTACGGTACTCGCGGTGTGTGTGACACATAATACACACAAAACCAGTACACAAATGTTGTTTCTCGCACGTCCGCGAAATGCGATGCACTGGTGTAACATATGCGGCTGAGGATTCTCGACTAGTATCCAACAGCTCGATTTTTGAGAGTCAAAATTTTGACCCCCGAAATTCGTTCTCGCAAGAACAACAAACAAAACGCCCAATTTTCAAAGGAAGCTCTGTCCACTTAACATCTTTTCAGAACCACACACTCACAAAAGAGATTTATTCACATGGTGCTTCCGCAAACTTATTTTGTCTTAGTAACATCATTTCGTTTAAAAAGCGTTTTGTAGCCCAATTGGGCGCATTCCAGGACGTAATGTCCCTTTAAATGTTACATGAATATGACATGTTAAACTGATACATACATAGAAAAATATACGTTCTTCAGAAAGGGTTAATATAACTTCACTCAGCTTTTCCATAAGCTTTTGGGCCATTCTATAAATTTAGGCTCCTAAGTGTGACATTTTTCTGTACCCGTTACATTAGTTCTTCGTAATTTGCCATTTAAGTATCGTTAAGAAACTTCAAACATTTTCTGTCGTTGTTGGGTATGTATAGTTTGCTGTTCATAATCACATTTGGAGGACGACTGCAGTAGGGAGTACATCGGAACTATACAATCGTATATCAGAAATTTCTGTTTACCCTTACAGAAAAAAAAATGCCCCAAATTTAGAGAAGGACTCTTTTACAATACACCAGGTAAATTTAAGTAACAGTCAAGATCAACGTAAAATTCAAGCACTGAAAAAAAAATCTAAACACCTTTCAAAGCTTAAAAAAAGTTCACACGCAGCACTTAGGTTTTAAAAATTGTATTCATTTTCATTCATTCAATTCAGTTTACACATGTGTTCGTCATTTTGTCGTGTCAAAACTCGTTAAATTTATGCCTGAACAGTGAAACTTCTAATGGGATTGTAATTCCTTTGCATAACAGTATAGATTCGGTATTGCTTGCAGGTGCAATCGAGATTGACTCGGCAGGGCGCGCAGACATCGTCGCTACATGAGCAGCCTTTGGGATACCCCCATATAGCCTAGGCCCTACCCACAGCGAGCAGGAACCGTGAAGGGACATTTTTTTCACCAAAGCTGAACTGAAAGTTCTGAGAAGTTGAACAATTTGTCTCCCAGGAGCTTGTAAAGTGTGTGTGGTCTCTGTTCATTTTTTTCGTCTAAGTTAACCGTGTCGGTACTGGCGATGGGCTGGCGTAGAGAGAGAGAGAGCTTATATGATTTTTTCATCGAGGATCAACCGAAATTTCAAAATTGAGCACCTTTTTCTACCTTCTTCTGTCAGCCCTGTTTTTGATTGATTCTCTCGAGTACTAATCTTTATTAATTTAATGAATCGGCCGGGTGTACCGTGAATATTAATAGGTAGACATGTGACATGTGCATGGGCGAACATCAGAATTATATAATCATAGATAAGATGTCAGATGTAACAGGGTCAGGAAAAAAGGTGGACCCCCAATTTATGGAACCACCCACCTTTCAAAGCTCATGGTAACTATAATACTTTGCAAAAAAGTTACCCATCAGTTTGGCTCTATAAACCCTCCGCTGCCCTAAACAATTAACCACATTTTTAATACTTTTTTCTCCGTTTGGAACTTGTTAAGTGTGTGTGGTCTCCCTACTCCTCCTGCCCAGTCTATCGTTTGTTGCACACTTATACGAAAAAGCCTTTGTTTTTGTTCTGATTCTTTTCCACTTCTTTCTTGTTCTTCTATCCCCAATCCAATACACTGTGCTCATTTTCTTTTT